GTTTAAAGCAGACGGCAGCCCGCGCCTCGGCAAGCTGCGCAAGTGCTACAAGTCCAGGACGCCGGAGAACCTGGAGGTGCCCTTCACGTCGAGCGAAAGTGGATTCGACACCGAACCCGAGTCATTGTCGACCTGCGACAACGAAGAAATTAACAGGTAAAACTAAGATTTTTACCTAAACTAACACTTTTTGTTCAATTCCGTGTCCTATCGCCATTTTTCTAATCCATCTTAACGTTATTTGTTCTTTCAATTCCTAAATATCAGGTACAGATAGGATATACAACTAAGATTTTCACTTTAAATGACCATAACACTGTGTGATTATTACGCAGACTTGTCAGGGGTCTAAAACATTAACAAATAATAAGGGTATCTCCAACGAGTCAGGGATGATTTAACTTCGACAGACGACATCCTAAAAATGACTGAATATACAACTATAAATTAACATGACATACAACAACTGTCACTGGTCATGTATCCTCTCGTTAAGGCGGATTCTGCTGACTCGTGTACTTGGCAAGTACGCCAATATTTGCGTACTTGGCAAGTATACTATATTTGTAAACAACATTTTTTTGCAACACGCTTAGCGCTCACGCGGCGCGCCTGGTGACAAAAAATTGCACAAGGAAATCACTGACACCACATGGCAAGTATATCCCAATAACAAATGTTTGTACAAGTACACGAGTCGTCAGAGTCCGCGTTTAGACCGAGACTATTATTTTTTCGATCGTACTGTATATTTTAAGGCTGATTCTGACTACTCGTGTACTTGGCAAGTACGCCACTATTTGCGTACTTGGCAAGTGGCAAGTATACTATCTTTGTAAAGATCATTTTTTTGCAACAAGCTTGGCGCTCACGCCTCGCGGCGAGTGACAAATAATTGCACAAGTTAACCGCTCGCACGACATGGCAAGTATATCCCAATAACAAATGTTTGTACAAGTACACGAGTCGTCAGAGTCCGTTTTTATGTACAGGGTGTTTCTTAATGACCGGCTAATATTTAAGGAGGTGATTCTTGGACCTATTCTAATGTGCGTCCTAAACATTTTAAATTTTCACAGGGTGGTAAAATTTTCTATTTTTTTCAAAATATCTCTGATGTTATATTTGATACACGTTTTCCATGCATCAAAATGCTTATTTTTATATACAATTTTTTTTATTTCTTGATTTCCTTCAGTCGATGCCCAGGACATGATTTCCACAATTCACCGCATCAGATTTTCAGCGGTTTGACCCTGAAGCAAACTGACTTTCTTTTGAGCAAGTTTAAAAATACGGTTGGTTTAAATTTTTGAATAAGAAGACTAAGGAAGGAGCATATCAAAAATCTTAGGTCCACCGCGATGGGCCTCAAAATATGGCCGACTTAAATTCCGGTTTATCAGTGCCGTTCTAATTTTATTTAAAAAATGTAAAACTATGATGTAGAGGTAGGCGTGGGGTAGACTCAATAAATTTTTATTTATTTTACGTTGTGAATAAATGTTGGTAGTTATTAAAATTGTTATAAAAATAGATAAGTTATAATAATTATTTATAACAGCAGGTAAGTCAAATTGACGTATCTAAATTCTTTGACATCTAATTTTTAACAAGTAGTAAATAAAAGCAAAAAAATGCAAGAAAAAATATATAATTAGTTAATTTAAGTGAATTTCATAAATGATCGGTTTACTACACGTATGTATATTATATAGTCACTTACTAGCGAAAAGTTGTTCCATTATTTCACTCGATTTTTGTCGAGATTCTACCGCACTATACACGAACAACTATTTTAGACTCTTTTTCGATAAATCGCAATAATGTCACTGTTAATTTTAGTTCTGCCAGAATTTCCATCTAGATTTACTACCTTTATACAACTATCAGTAGTAGAATAAATAATAAATAACATAAAATAAGCTCCGTAAAGACTGACAAATCCACAAAATTTCAAATCAAATTCAAATGTGTCAAATGAATCGTCAAACAGAACTGTCAAGGATCCCCACCCTAGAGGCCTTTTTCCGCCCACCATGCATGAATAGATGGATAGCATTATGCTCCTTCCTTAGTCTTCTTATTCAAAGGTTTAAATTGTGGATAGTGACAATTTGGCGAATGATTTTTTTTAAATAGTTAATTGTGTGTTGTAATCAGTATAAATTGTGTGTATATAGTAAGAAAATAAATCCGTTAAGTATTTTATCGTGAGTTTAAATTAGTGGACCCACGGAATCCGTAACAATATTTATAATAAAATCAGAGTTATTATAAAAAAAAAATACAAAAAATTATCGTCTGTATCTCAGAAATTGAGATGTTTACGACATACATTCATATGAAGGTTTTTCTCTAACACCTGTATAAGATGATCGAAAAAAAACGGCGTCAGCAGTGGCTTTTGAAATGAAGATAGCTGTCATTTTATATGTAAAATTATATGGGGAATGTCATTGATCGTCATTTCTAAGCCAACTGGACGCTGCGCCGTTTTTTTTTTCGATCATACCGGTAAGAAAGTTAAAACGAACATTATAAGTAATTTTTAATAATTGATTTTTAATAATTTTATTGTATTGAATTTTTGCAGATTACAAGCTAAAAGTAGCATTTTGGAACAAGTTCTCATCCAGAACAACATTCCTGTACCCAGTTACGAGGTAAGTGCGAGTTTTACATTATAACTCGTGTGGAACGTTTCGAACTAACAACCATCTTCAGGCACAAATATCTGTCTGTCTATCGTCGTTAGGTGAAATGTCACTAATAGTTTTTTTCTCATACATTTCGAATGCCATTATGCTTGATTGATTTGTTGACAGGGAATTATGTTTGTAAGAAAATTAAATAGTTTGACTATTAAAATTTAGAATTTATTTAAAATTAAATTACCTTTTTTCTGTTTTGACATTAATAAGTTTAGCTTTTTTGAATTGTTTTCGGTCAAAGGTTTAATATTTTAGCTATAGTATGTAATATTTATTTATTTATTTTGTTGTTAGTTAGATGAACCTAGAGCATGCTGTATTTTTCACTTATTTATTTATGTTATTGCTGCATATTTAGGAGAAGCTGGGCATTATAGCATTGTCTTTCCATCTTTGCATTTGTTTTCTACTAATTTTATTTGTTTTTCACTAACTTTACCACTATATACTACACAGTATTAATATAATTTAGCGCGCGCAGATGCCTTGCTCTAGTGCTATCATTCCAAAGGCTTCTCCATATAATTAAACATACATATACACACATATGTATGGCTTTTTGTTTAATAAATGTTTTTTGCACTTTGTATTTTTGGTTTTATTTATTAGATGGAGAAGTTTTACTTACCTTTGATATACTAGAAACAAGGCTTGTCTGCTAAAGAGGAAAATGCATGTTTTTAAATAATGGTTTTAAAAAATAGTTCATATAATTACAAATTGAACAAAAAAAAATCGTTGATATCGGTTAAGAAATGCCTCTAATATAAAATAATTAAATATTGTTAATTTAAATGGCCGGGCAAACGTTCTCTACCGGGCCTTGCCGCTGTGACGTCACCCGCCGTTCTTCTGGTTGAATGGAGCCAGACGCGTGTTTATTTTACACAAACGCTGTTGAATCGGAGTCAAAATTTTAGTTATTTGTGTTAATTAATACATAATTAGTAATTAGTGATATTTATAAATAGTAATGGATGAGCGAAAACAGAAAAAAATGGTCCAAGGCCATGAGAAGAGATGAAAAGAAAAACGTTAAATTATCCTCAATTTTTACGATTTATTGTTGTGAAGATCATTTTGATGTCTTCTTCTTCTTATTCATTTTAAGATCTCGCGATCTGTTAATTTTTGATGGGTCCTCTGTAACAGTTCTTGGGAGGTGGACTGCCAGCTGTCCTTCCATCTCTTAGGTGGTCTTCCAGGTTCTCTTTTCCCTGTTGGTTTTCCTTCTAATGCAATTCGTGGCAGTCTTCTCTCATCCATTCTTCTCACGTGGGCGTACCAACCTCTTTTTCTTTGTCTGCCCCACCTTACTATGTCTTGCACCTCACATTGTTCCCTGATGTCGGTGTTCTTAATTCGGTCTCTTCTTGTTTTTCCCATTATTGTCCTGAGCGTTTGATTTTGATGTAAGTTCATATATTTATGTCTATTGTCTTACATAGGTATATGAAATTTGAATGTACAGGGTTATTGATTATATTTTGACACCCACATACAGCATTAACTGCAAGTTTAGAAGAAAACATTAAATAAAAAAGTTGCATGGTTTTTCATATACTCACTTTTAAAATTAATTCTAGTTATACAGGGTGTCTCAAAAAAGGTGGTGCAGAAAATTGTAGGTATTTTCCGCTTTTCAACTGTCAATATTTCGTAAACATTTGAAGATAGGTATAGGATATTATACACGAAATATATCTAGAATATCTAGAAATTTCCGAAGAATCTAAAAATATATAGGGTGTTTTACTTAAAAAAGTAACTTAATTTTGGCGTTTGCTTATGGGACTTTGTATAATATTTTCATTACTGATAAACAATTTGTTTCTTATAATTTCGTAAAAAAAACAATCTTTAAAAATAATAAGGGTAAGGAGGTGTCAATATATAAAAAAAAACTTTCTTTTTCACGCTATGCTCTGGAGTTATTTTTCCACGTACTAAACAAATATTTTTGTCTCTTTTCACTTATACATAACCTACAGCATTATCTCCATACGTCTCCCTACCTGATCTGAAAAATAAGTTTATAACATTAATATTTATAACTATATCAAAGTTCGTAACAGTAGGTACCTACTTATACTTAAATATGCCTCAGTTCTACAAAGAATAAATGTTACATACCTCTCTGTTTTTTTCCTCGTAATTCAGCACCAATAAATTGGGAATTTGTATTTATAAAAGCAGCCAAC